TACATTTGAATTATATTCTATCGGCCAAACATATCTGTAACTAAAAGAAGTTGAATATATTTGAAATCACATGTACAGTATTTAGTGGAAATCAGAGAGACTAGTTTTTTTGTTGTTGGTCACATATATTTTATTGTAATATCCAGGAGGATACTATGGGTATTAGTAAAAATGTGATCTGTAATTTTTATCAAAATTACCTAATTAGTACCTACATAGTATGTTGACACATCTATTCATACCCCATTGGCTTATTTAACAAAGGCCTACTATAGTCTTAAAGGATTCATTTGAATTTCATAAACAGTCATACTTTGACCAAAGTGTAACTAATACAATTAAACGTTTCTTTTTAAGTTCAAAGAACAATTTTTTTTTTTTTTTTTTTTTTGAGACAGAGCCTTACTCTGTCACCCAGGCTGGAGTACAAAAGAATAGTATTCCGATAACTTACATGTCACTGATGAGGGAAGAGGCTCCCAATTAAAAATACATTTTTCTGAGAACAGCAATATCAACACAGGAATAATTCAGTAAATACAAATGCATACTGCATGCCAGGCACTCTCCTAAGATGTAGCAACCACTGTTTTCACAATCTCACAGTAAAGGTAAACATGAAAAAAAAATTGTGCCGGCCGGGCGTGGTACCTCACGCTTGTAATCCCAGAACTTTGGGAGGCCAGGGCAGGCAGATCACCTCAGGTCAGGAGTTCAAGACCAGCCTGGCCAACATGGTGAAACCCCATCTCTATTAAAAATACAAAAATCAGCCAGGCATGGTGGCAGGCACCTATAATCCCAGGTACTTAGGAGGCTGAGGCAGGAGAATCTCTTGAACTGGATGGCAGAGGTTGCAGTGAGCTGAGATTGTGCCACTGCACTCCAGCCTGGGTGGCAGAGTGAAACTCCATCTAAAAAACACAATAAAAAGCCAAAAAAATGTGCAGTCTGACGAGTTCTGAGAGTCTGTAAAAATTATCCTGGAGACCAGTGGTGAGAGCAACTGATTCCCAGTAGCATGTAGCATGAGTTACTGATGATAGATGAACATCAGCCTTGATAGTAGGTAGTCACTATAAGCTGACCCAAACCCTGCCATTCACTGATGACCAGATCTTGGTCAAATGACTTAATCATTTCACACCCCAGTCACCTTATCAGTCATAATTCATACCTACCCTACCTGGGTATTATGAGGATTCAATTATATAAAATATGTAAAGTACATTGCCAACAGGACAAAAAAAAATTGATAAAAATTATCTTTGCTTTTCCTTAGTAGCATAAAGAATAAAAGAATACAAGTTTAGTAGGTTAAGTCATGTCCTATTTAGTATTTGCAATAATTTGGTCATACACTAAACTGAAATTTACTTGTTTTTTTTTTTTTTTTTTTTATTTTTTACATTTTTTATAGACACAGGCTCTCACTTTGTTGGTCAGGCTGGTCTTGAACTCCTGGCCTCAAGTAACCTTCCCACCTCAGCCTCCCAGATTGCTGAGATTACACGCATGAGCCACCATGCCCGTCCTACTTTTGTGTTTTTATATGCTGGGGAATTCTTTGATCATTTGATTTATTTTTTATGCAGTTTTAGTATGCATATCCCAGTGGTTGTTCCATTTACGTCATAAACCTATTTCATATAGCCATACAGCAGTCATCCTTGTTTTTCCAACTAATAATCTGTAGTTTAAAAAGCCATTCCTACCAAGGAAAAAGATACATTGTGATTCACTCTTGAAAGAACCTAGGGAAAATAATTTCTCCTAATTCCAGCCTACTCAGCATCAGGAGCAGAAATGAGAAGGACCACCTTTTACTACCTGATGTAGGAATAGATATAATAGATAGTAACTTTATCATGGCTCTAAGAAGCCATGATAAAATCTCTTTGACCACAGTGCTTCTCTGCAATTGAATCCTTTCATCAACTCACGCTGTTGTCTTTTTTCCAAGTTACTAAATATGAATTGAAATCATTAATTATGGTCAGGATGCTTGACCTAGCCAACTCTTGAAGTCTCTTGTCCCCACCCTCACCCCAATCCCTTCCTCTGGGCTGGTTAACCAGTGTGGAAGATCAAACAGGATTGCTCTGTTCAGCTGCTTGTGCCAAGAATGCATTGCTTTTAGAATGCCTTCGAATGGCATTTTGTTCTGGCTGAGGACCACAAGCAATTCTAATAAGCCTGGGCACAGGCTGAGTTTAATTCTGAGTCTTCTCTGATATAGGGCTTGGCTCCAGATTTAAGACCTGCCTTTTAGCATGGGGCTTAGGAACATATGTGGAATAAGGAAGGTCCTTTGAGAAAACATGAGAAACAAATATTAATGTGTATGAAAGATCATGCACTAGAGTGGTCAGGTATTTTCTTTGTGAGCACAAGACTGTCATACTTGACTATAACGTAAAAGCAATTTGTGAAGTGGATAATAATTTTGATTATACCTTATTCTTCTCAGAATAGATGTGTGTTTGCACACAGATCTTAAGGTACTTATCACAGCATACCTGGGTGTTTAGAAAAGGTACTTCTGATTAGACCCATTTTTAAAAATGCACATATTCCACCAACTTGTTTGGTGGAAATTACCAAACATCTATGTTAGATGGTAGAAGTTAGCAATAGAGAAATAAAGTTACATAAATTTGGTATATTTTTTCTATCCATTTTTTTACACTTAGCATTCACAGCTCGCTCGCTTTCTCACACGTACACTCGCACACACACAATTTGACGTAAGTTTTTACATTATATGTGCAGTTATGAACATGGCCTTTTTGTAACTCAACAATGTTTTTTAACTCTAGCATTTACACATAGATGTGGGTTTTGGGGGTTTATTGTTTTTTAAAAGTGTTATGTAGTATATTCCATCATATAAAACAGTCACAGTTAACCACTTTCATACTTACAGACATTTAACTCAATTCCCATTTGCAGTGTTATGAATAACACTGCCATGAACAGCCTTCACAAGGCCCTCTGTGGGAATGTGTTTCTAGAATAGATGCCTCACAGTGGGTCAGACAGTGTAGGCATATTCTTTTTTATAGATGCCGTCCTCTAGAATGTCTCTATTCATTTATTGTCCTCTAGAATGTCTCATTCATTTATTCTCCCACCATACACAGCTTATGAAAATACCTATTTCCTCAATGCAGCAATATTTGATGTTGTCAGATTTTATTTTTTGGCAGCATAATGGTTGCAAATTGTATTAGTCTATTTTCATACTGCTGTAAAGAACTACCTGAGGCTGGGTAATTTGTAAAGAAAGGAGGTTTAATTGACTCACATTTCCACGTGACTGGGGAGTTCTCAGGAAACTTAGAACCATGGTGGAAAGCAAAAGGGAAGCAAGGCACATCTTACATGGTGGTGAGAGAGAACATGCAAAGGAAGCCACACGCTTTTAAACCATCAGGTCTTGTGAGAACTCACTATCATGAGAACAACATAGGGGAAACCACTCACATGATCCGGTTACCTCCCACCAGGCCCCTCCTTCAACACGTGGGGATTACAATTCGAGATGAAATTTGGGTGGGGACTCAGAACTAAACCATATCACAAATACTATCTCATTTTGTATCAAAACACTTTTAAGAGTCTCATTCTGCAATCATCATATATCATAGTATAATAAGAGACTTCTAAAATCAGATCCAACTTTCCATAAAAGAAAAACATAAAGCCAGGCTGGGTGCAGTGGCTCATGCCTGTAATCCCAGCACTTTGGGAGGCCAAGGTGTGCGGATCATGAGGTCAGGGGATGGAGACCATCATGGCCAACATGGTGAAACCCTGTCTCTACTAAAAATACAAAAATTAGCTGGGTGTGATGCTGTGTGCCTGTAATCCCAGCTACTCAGGAGGCTGAGGCACAAGAATCACTTGAACCCAGGAGGTTCAGAGCCAAGATCGCACCACTGCACTGGTAACAGAGCAAGACTGCGAAACAAAAAAAAAAAAAAAAAAGAAAGAGAAAAAAACATAAAGCTGAAAGCTTATGTTGTGTTCTATTATTTTAAAATATAAAAGGAACTATCATGTAAGATACAAATGTTGAACTGACTCATTCTTTCAACATTTATTAAGCATTTTGTACTAGGCTCTAGGATTATGAAGCTAAGCGGGTTATAGTTTGGGGCATCAAGGGCTCGCATTCCAGCGGAGGAAGCAGGTACTTAAACCAGTAATTTCTGCAAACGCTGTAATAGTGAATGTTCCAAGGACTGTAAGTGGACAGGAAGCAGAGTATAAGACTAATTGTCTTAGTGATGCAGAATAAATATTAGATTTCACCAAATTCAAAGCAAATGCTGCCCTTTTATGTGTTTAAAAAAGACCGTCACACATTTACTCTTCAGCCCTGTTCTGCCATAGTATAGTGCATGACACAATTGCCCCAAGAGCTGCAGTGTGATACACAGAGATTCATGTAAGAGAACTTGTCCCCACTCCTCCTGTGGGAACACAGGTGACAGGTGCCTGTGAATCTACAAACAGCAGCTCAAGTCATCAATCCATCCTCAGCAACTAACAATTTTTCAGTACTTGGCATGTACAAAACACCAGGCTAGGTGCTGAGGGGGATAAGGTGTATATAACGTGGTCCTGTTCAGTGGCAGTTCAGAATCTAGCTGGGGAGATAAGGCAATTCATGTTTAATGACATTGTAGATACTTAGTCACAAGAAAAAACAACCAAATTTGAATGATGCTTCCATATGGCCCACTCACAGTGGAAAGAAAACTTTAATATCTAGAGAAATGTCTTAAAGCGAAACAGTGTGTCAAGGTTCTGAGCTGTAGTTAGAAGTATAGATGAAATTGCATATATCAAGCTCTTAATACACAGTCCTGTACTTAGTAGGCACTCAGAACACTTTTAACATTTTTTGAGTTGACATAATGTTGTTACCAATACAAATATTTCAAAAAAATTATTCTTTTTTATAATTTTTTAATTTTTGTCTTGTTTTTTAGGTCAAGAAGTGGTTTTCAAGTGCCTTGGGGAAGGAATTCTTGAAAAAGCCTTTCAGGGGTATAATGCATGTATTTTTGCATATGGACAGACAGGTAAGAAGCTGCTTTTATAAGCCAGATGTGTGGATCATGCCTGTCATCCCAGGACTTTGTGAGGCTGGGGTGGGAGGATCTCTTGAGCTCAGGAGTTTGAGACAAGCCTGGGCAACATAGTAAGGCCCATCTTTACAAAAAATAAAAACATTAGCCCATCGTGGTACACCTGTAGTCCCAGGTTCTCAGGAGGCTGGGGTGGGAGGATAGTTTGAGCCCAGGAGTTTGAGACTATGATCATACCACCCCATTCTAGCCTGAGCAACAGAGGGAGACCCTGTCTCAAAAAAAAAAAAATTTTTTTTTAACAAATGACATTAAATATGTATTTCTTGCTATTTAAAAATAGAAAAAGGCCAGGTGCAGTGGCTCATGCCTGTGATCCCAACACTTTGGGAGGCTGAGATGGGCAGATCACTTGAGGTTGGGAGTTCGAGACCAGCCTGGCCAACATGGTAAAACCCCTATCTTTACTAAAAATACAAAAATTGGCTGGGTGTGATGGTGCACACCTGTAATTCCAGCTACTCTGGAGGCTGAGGCATGAGTATTGCTTGAACTTAGGAGGTAGAGGTTGCAGTGAGCCAAGATTGCGTCACTGCACTCCAGCCTGGTGATGAAATGAGATTCTGTGTCAAAAAATTAAAAATATGAAAAATAAAAATAGAAATAACTGTGAAAAGCAACAGAAAAATGTATTTGACTTTGTACATTTAACTGAGTTAAGTGATCAAAAGTAATCCTCTTTTTGAAGGTACAGTAGTTTTGGTAATTGAGCAATTTCAGTGTTAATAAGCAAAGCTAGTTTCAAGTTATTAAGTGTCATTTTCCTCAATTATAGTTTAGCCTGTATTTGAAGTAGAAAAATAATTATCAGTTTCTTTAAAAAACGAAAACAAACAAAAAAAAAAAACAAGCAGGCCAGGCGCAGTGGTTCATGCCTGTAATCCCAGTACTTGGTGGTGGATTGAAAGGTCAGGAGTTCAGGACCATCTTGGCCAACATGGTGAAACCCTGTCTCTACTAAAAATACAAAAAATCAGCTGGGCATGGTGGTGCATGCCTGTAATCCCAGCTACTCAGGAGGCTGAGGCAGGAGAATTGCCTGAACCCAGGAGGCGGAGGTTGCGGTGAGCCGAGATCGCGCCATTGCACTCCAGCCTGGGCAACAAGAGCGAAACTCCGTCTCAAAAAAAAAAAAAAATTAATAATAATAATTAATAATCATCATCATCATCATTACCAGTTTCTCAGTATAAATGGCATAGTAAAAGTGATGGGAAAACTCTTAGTTTCATCCTATACTGAGGACTTTGACTAGGACACAGAAGTAATGACAGATTATTAAACCTAAGCTTATGAAATAGTTGGTTGAAGCAAGCAAAACAAAAACATACTAATGGCTCAGCCATTAACACTCTGAGCCAGATCTTTCAACAATAAGGTAGGAATAAATAAATAAATCATAACAGTGCTGCCTAATATCACATCACAGGATAACTAGGAGATTCAGACGAGAGAATATATATAACGTAATATATGATGAGTTACTTAATAATGTATAGTTGGAATTTTACTATACATACTTATTAATGTGTTTTTAGTGATTGCATTTATACACATCATCTGTAAGTGAGGTGCCCTCCAGATCTTGCTGAGTGACACTGGAAGCCCTGAGTGTAATGGAAAGAACAGTAGCCTGGGCATCCAAAAGCCTGGGTTTGAGGCTAAGTTGGCCACTTTTCTGCTCTGTGACCTTGGCCAGCATATGGGGAAACCTTGTATGGTTGAAGCATTGCATTTTGCTTCCTCTTCTACCCATTCTTCTTTCTGCTTGCTCTTCTCCAGGTTCGGGAAAATCCTTTTCCATGATGGGCCATTCTGAGCAGCTGGGCCTTATTCCAAGGCTCTGCTGTGCTTTATTTAAGAGGATCTCTTTGGAGCAAAATGAGTCACAGACCTTTAAAGTTGAAGTGTCCTATATGGAAATTTATAATGAGAAAGTTCGGGATCTTTTAGACCCCAAAGGGTAAGTTAATGGTCAAGATTAAGTGTCTTTGGGTGGAGGGGGGAGGGGGGGAGTTCTTTTAAATGATTCTGAAGTTAAAATTGGAAGTGAATATATGTATTTAAGTTCTTGGTGACTATGCTGGTTTTTATTCATTTACAGAGAAATTATCAGCTTCTCAAAGTCTGTTGGTATACCCAGTGTTTATTCTACATTAATGTATAAAGTTGCCTATGTATGTGTATGCCCTTTGAAAAGATGTTTTTACAATTTTTTTTTTTTTTGCCACCATGAACTAGTCATAAAAATTGAGTTAGAAATAACACATTTGTTCTTCCATTTACATTGGAAAGCAGCACCTCTGTGTTAAAGGTAAAAGGGTTGAAGGATTGAAATATCCCAGCCTAGACAAACAATGCCTTTCCCTGGCTGTGCATTGGAATCATGTGGGGAATGTTTTAAGTATCCCCTGTCCTGATTCCCACCCATAGAGACTGGATTCAGTAGACCCAGAGTGAAACCCAGGGATCTATTTAACTAGGTGATAAAAATAGATTTATTTGATTCATAGAGGAACTGGGACCATTTACTTTTTTTCAAATAAAAAATTTGGGGCCAGATACAGTGGCTCATGCCTATAATCCCAGCATTTTGGGAGGCCGAGATGGGCAGATCACCTGAGGTCAGGAGTTCCAAACCAGCCTGACCAACATGGCAAAACCCCATCTCCACTAAAAATGCAAAAATTAGCCAGGTGTAGTTATGGGCACCTGTAACCCTAGCTACTTGGGAGGCTGAGGCAGGAGAATCACTTGAACCCAGGAGGTGGAGGTTGCAGTGAGTTGAGATTGTGCCACCGCACTCCAGTCTGGGCAACAGAGGGAGACTCCATCTCAAAAA